GAACCTGCTGCAGATACCAAAATCCATAGATGCTCAAGACCCTGATATAAAATGATGTAATATTTTCTATAACCTTCTATATACTTTAAATAATCTCTAGATTACTTATAATACCTAATACAATGTGAATACTATATAAATAGTTGCCCTACTCTAAGGGAATAATAAAAAAATCTGCTTATGTTCAATACAGACTATATTTTAAAAAATATTTTCCATCTGTGGTTGCTTGAATCCATGGACAGAGAATTGAAGAATATGGAGGGCTGGCCTTACTTCCAACAGTTCTTCTTAAAGCAGACTTTTTTTTGGGGGGGGGACAGTAAATATGCTGTAAAATAATTAAGTATAAATACTCTGACAAAAGGATAAATCAACAAAAGTCACAAGATTATAGGCACAGTAAGGGGGGGGGTATACGAGTGTTTCTAAGGATTATAAAATCTGTCCTTAATTAATCAGACATCTCTGCAGAGAAGCATTATTCAGCCTAGTGAGACATGATCATGCTTGCCCGATACTTTTAGGTACAGGTTAAAGTCATATGGTGTTTTACAAATTTTACAGTTGACAACCTGCTAAGTGCCACTCCAAATCTCTATCCATATCCATGTTCATATCATATCAATGTTTATAGCATACTTTTAACTTTATGGGTTCTGAAAATACAATGTATGTTTAAAAATTCACATCTTTAATGAGCAGTAAACAAAATTTTAAAAATCATTTGATGTAATTCAAAACACTGTGATGCCTAACAATAGCCTAGTTTCTAGGAATTTACAAAAATTTTATGTGTGTATCATATAGAGGTACCAGAAGGGCATGGTAGTTGTTTTTGAATAATCTTCACTAGCTAAATAAAAAGTTGGATGCTCTAATGTGTGATTCCCCGTATTTGGGTGAAAATTTTCACTTGTCCATGAGATACAAGCCTGGGAGTGTGTGACCCAGAAACTGAAGTGAAGCAGAGTGGCATGGTGGAAATAGCGCTGGGCTGGGAGATGCTCCTGTGGCCTCTGACCTTCAGACTTGGTGCCTTCTTTCTCAGAGCTCATATCCTTAACTTTACTCCCAGGAACCTCAATCAGCTGTTAGCTCCTTTTAGATCCAGCACTCCTTGAGTGCATAGTGCATTGCTAAGTAACAGTGAGGATTTGGCTTATAGATCCAGTGTGTCCCATTTATCCAGTTCACGGAGAAGGAGAAGACAGTTTAAGGAAATCTGCGAGCAGAATAATCATGAAAGCAACCAAACAGCTGCTCAAATAGATGCTCAGGTGAGCCCATCATAAAATTTCTGTGGTGTGTCACAACAGTTAAGATACCAATAAGAAAGCTCTATCTTAAGGATCATCATCTTGGTGACAGTGAATTTGTCAAACAGGCACTGAACATCTGTTTAGGTATTTTCTTTATATTTCATCCTTGAAAAGATTCCTTAGGATACATTTTGTTCGGTTCATTAATGGTCCACAGTGCCATTTCAAAAAAGGAAGCTTTCAAATTACTTCCTTAATGCACTAAAAATATAAAGTGTGTTGCCAATGTAGCATAGAGTCAAAGTCCTTCTATTGAACATAATAACCATTCAATAAATATAATCTAAATAAATTTTAATTAAAGTATCCTTGCACTCTAATTTTGTATGATTATAAACATAGCTAACAACAGTTTTTCTTTTTTTTTTTGTTTAAAAAAAGAGCTAAATTTGCAAGGGGGTCTCTTGTGTAGCTACTGTACAAACAATATACTTTATGCTTTTGGAATTGTCAAGGCAAACTTAACTGCTCTCAGGAACTCCGATCCAGTATCACTGTCAAAATGTTTTACAACGATTCGGCCAAATGTTTGTGGAACAGCTGTGCTACTAGTCTGCCTGAGTCATTTTCCTTCTTCCCTTTTGGCCCAATCCTGTGATTCATCATTCTGCTTTTAGAATATTTGTCTATTTTTAAAACCAGTCAAAGAAGGCAGCCACTATTTGAAAGTAAACACACCACACATCAGCTTGGGGCAGCTTTGTAAGCAGCTTTGCAAGCCTGAAATGTCTGACCGGCAGGGATGCCAGCTAAACCAGATGGCAGCGGGAAGTGAAGCAGAGGACTGGCTTCCAGGCTTGGTGTTCTCCTTACATCTGTCTTTGGTTTTCTTGTTTCCGCTGCTGTTTCCTGCTTGGGCTAATCCCACTTGATCCATTCTTGAACAAAAGTCTTTCTTTCATTTTGGTGATCTCTCTGAAACATCCATTATATGTTTATTTTCATGCCAATCAATTAGACTTTTATTTCAACTCAGGGAGTTCAATACTTCATGCATATGCAAAATTATCACTATGGTCACAGACATGTGCTTTGACCTGGTGCGACTGCTAATAATGTTGTATTTTCTATAAGGAAATCATCATGCCAGGTCATACCAACTATTGGATTTTTAAAAAATGGCTATATTAATTGTACGCATTTAGAAGACATTGTGATAATTCAATACATGTATTCAATGCATAGAGATCAAATCAGGTTAGTTAGCATTTCTATCTCCTTACACACTAAAAACATTTTTGATTGACACTGAATAATTATACATATTTATGGAATACAGTGTGATATTTCAATAAATGTAGGTATTTGCTATTTACATTACTACATTAAAACAAATGGAGAATGTCTTCTTCTTTTTTATAATTAAGCAGGAAGGAGTGTGACTTCAGAGGGGCAAAGTGGATAAAGTCTCAGGAAGCTTTGCATTCCACTCCTGGCTGTCTTCCAGAATTCTAGGCTGCCCTGTGTGTTCGTACCCTTGACAGGATAGGACTTTCCTCCCAACAAGTACCTGCTCTTGTGAGGGCACTTGATTATTAAGTTTGGGATGCCCAAGTGAAATATGTTCCCATCACCTGTGCCAGCTTTTTCTGGCTTTGACCCAACAAGCTAAAATAATCATGATGTCTAGGTGATTGAAATTATACTGAAGCAAACATAAGTGCACCTAGGCCCCAAATCAGTTTTACAAAGTATAAATTTTATAATGAAGCCTACCTCTAAAGGGTTGGTATCCACAAGTGGATATTTCTGCCTTTATTCAACTATTAATATAATACAATAAATTAAAAAAGCTATAGTAGTTGGCAGAATTTGTCACTTCTAGTCTTTGCAGGAAGAGAACATTTGAAGGACCTGGGGTTGCATCTCCTTATACTCTCAAGATTCTCTTCCTGCCTGCAGGAAAGGTCTTGGGAAAAAAATTAAGTTTCTAATTGCTCTGTGAAGCTAAAGTTAGAAAGTGTTAGTGAACCCTGGACATCCATTATCTGGCACAGGTGCACATACAAAATGGATTCATATTTGCTGATGCATTGCATTATTTTAAGCTACTTTTAAGTAGCAATGTTATACTACACTTGGCTAGCATATAACAAAGGCTATTAAGTGATGTGATCCTTGAGGTGTCTGGCTGAGGTTAAAACCATCCTTGTTTGAATCTTTCTGATGATTATTCTTGGTGCTTTCAAAGAAACACAACCTCTGAGAGTCCAGGAGTGTGTTGGGTACTACATTTTCTTCTGGATGGTGCTCTCCATTAATAGAGAAGATAGTCATTCCTCTGTGTCTGTAGGTTTTATACCTGAGGATTCAACCAATGGCAGACTGAAAATATTTTGGGGGAAAAATGTAACAGTGTTGAGTGTGTGGACTTGTTTTTTCTTGTCATTATTTCCTAAACAATAGAGTACAGCTACTTTTTATATAGCACTTACATTGTATTGAGTATTATACAGAATCTAGAAATGATTCAAAGTGTATGGAAGATGTGCATATGTTGTATGCAAGCACAACATCATTTTACAGAATCAGCTTGAGCATCTGTGGATCTTGGTACCTGCAGGACTCCTGGAACCAATTCACCACGGATATCGAAGGGCCAGTGTGGTTATTTCTGCAACAGGTGTGGCCTGGATTGCTTTTTCTTGTTCAAAAAGGACATCGATCAGTTTTTATCAATAAATTTGACTATGATGGTGCAAATATAAAAACCATTATCTTTCCTTGCTTTATTATAATTGAAAATAGCTTTGATTTTAGTTTGTGTTCTGTCTTATTCCCATCATCCTGGGTACTGGCATAGGGATTGGCAATGGCAATTGATCCCTCTAAGCCAGACTGCCTGGAGAGGGAGGAGGCTCTGCTCCTGAAGAGACTGTCTGGGAGCAGCAGGATGTCCTTGGAGGGGTTTGGGGATGATCTGGATATTTCAGGCCATATTTCTGCCAGGTTTCCTTGGTGCTTCTGAGAACTGCATCTTTTGATCCAACAACAGCTGCTGACCTCCCATTGGCTACTGAAGGACTGGCTCAGGAGACCTTTTCAGTAGCTGGGGTGAGGATGTCAGGGCTCTGGGACTCAGTCACTCCCTCCACAAAGCTGGGGATTCTGCTTTAGGTTGGGAGTGATGTCTGGAGCTTGGGAAGAAATGTCCTGGTTAGGTTTCTGCCTGTTAGTCCTTGGAACCCAGAGTGAGTTCCTGGTAAACTGCCTGTGAGTGGTGGTTTGTGGTTAAGAGCAGAGGGTAAAACCATCACAGCTTGTGACACTTGGAGCCATTCACAGAACTAATGCTTCTGTTTTTCACTAACAGGTTCATCTCTCCCTCTGAGGTTCAGGCTGCCTCATTAGCACCTTGTTAAAGAATTTTCCTGTGTATCATATTTTTGCTTTTGGCTAATGTGAGAGTATTAAAGACAAGCCATCCTTCTTAATTGGAGAGCTACCAGGCTGGACATTTGAGAATTTTGATTGCAAATTTTTGTTCAGACTTACTGAGCTCTCCATACTTTGGTGTGTACAGAAAGGGAGGAAAATTGTCTACATTCTGTCTTCTCCCATAACTAAGCAATTCATACTGATGGTCTGCCTATGTGTGTCCAAGGAGGTTTCCTGGAATGGGGACTCTTTTGAGAGAAAGGGTTCCATCACGAAGAATCACTTTATGTTTGTGTTTAGATGATACACCTCCTGAAGACTCCATTCCTCTGGTCTTTCCAGAATTAGAACAACAACTACAGGTAAGAATTTTTCCATAATCTCTCTTCTTCCCTCCTCAGTGTCACAAAGTGGAATGAGCTGGTCTAACTGGGAAAGACTGATTTGGAGACAGAGTAGGGGGTTTAAGTCATCAGGTGTACTGCTCTACAATTCCAAAGTGAGGCTGAAGCCTTTGTGGAGTACCCCAGGTTGTTTAGCTATGACACAAGAACATCAAGAGCTTATTCAAGGGGTCTTCAAAGAGTTCATGGAAACTGTGTGTTATGAAATAAACCATGCATGGATTTCAAAATTATGTGCACTAAAGAAAACTCATCTTTTTATTCCATTTCCATGAACTTTTTGAAGCTCCTCATAGTATAAACTAATTCCTATATTTTTAAAAATTTAATTAATTGAGAGACAGGGAGATGGACACACACACACACACACACACACACGCACTTAGAGACACACACACAGAGACAGAGAGAGCTCTCATTCATTGATTCACTCCCCAAATGCCTACAAAATCCAGAACCGGACTGAAGCCCAAGTTTGGAGCTGGGAACTCAATCTGGGTCTCCCACATGGGTGGCCAGTACCAAATGCTTTGTATTGGTGGGAAGCTGGAGTCAAGAGCTGGAGCTGGGAGTTGAACCCAGGTGCTTCAATAGATATATGCAGGAGTTCTAACCAGCATCTTAACCCCTGGGCCAAAGGCTTGTCCTAGCTTTTATTTGTAAGAAAGTCTGGAACGTGGCATTAGGAATGGCCTCTGCTCTCCTTTGCTGTGGATGTCTCCATAGCATTGAAACTTTGGCTCTGTTTTGGGTTAGTGATTTAGTGATAAACTCTGCAGAGAAAATGTTTCATGTTGGCCAAAGCTTTGGATAATCTCCAGTCCTCTATCCTCTGTCCCTTCTCCACTTCTGTGACAACTTTTAATGGAATATAAATATGGTTAACTTTCTGAAAATTGTCTGGTTGACCCATGAGAAATGTATTTTGTGTACATAGTTTTGGATGATTTATCAAAAGATATCCCATTAAATGTACCAGAATTGTTTGAAAGGTGCTAATTTAAGATATTTTAATTTTCTTTAGATGATGCATGGTGATTTAAGGTCAATTTAGCTTTTATAAGAGCTTTTGCTTACAATTGCTGGATGTTGGCCTTGAGTTCCCCATTTGCTTGAGCACTTCACTTTGCAGGCACATTTAGACAAGTCTAATAGGCAAGTCTAATCCTACATACAGATGTTTTTCTTTGTCACTACTTTCTTTCCCTAAATAATGATTTTGAAAGTATTTAGGATGAGTCTGCAACATCCAGTTCCCAGCAAGTTCTGAAATTCCTTAGTATGAGTTGAGTATCCTTTATTCAAAATGCTTAGAGCCAGCAGTGTTTCAGATTGTGTATTTTCCCCAAAATTTTGGGATATTTTCATATACATAGACATATCTTGGTGGTGGGATTCAACTCTAAACATGAAAGTCATTTATGTTTCATGTACACCTTATACACATGACCTGAAGGTAATTTTAGGCAATATTTTTAGTCTGCCCACAGTATGACTGCAGCCTGTTCCTAAAGGTCAGATGTGGAACGTTCCCTTTGTGGCATCCTATTGGTGATGAAAAAAGTTTCAGATTTTAGAGCAGTCCAGATTTTGGATTAGGGCTCTTCCTTTTGTACTTCATACCCAGTAGTTTTTCCCATTTGTGGGTGTGCCTGGTGTCCTTTGAGTTTAAGGCTCTTATTCCTAGTCAGTCCTTAGCAGAAGGAGGAAGGGCCAAGAACAATCCCTTGTTGCAACCCCAGATGGTGTTCCCTTTCCTTTGCTTCTGTTCTTATCTCAGTGCCCAGGATACGGAACTAAAAGCCTGGGAGCAACCAGGTCAGTTTGGAGGAACTGGTGCCCCACTACTGGGATGGCCTCTAAAAGCCAACCTGGCATCACTCGCGTGTGCCCTTGCTTGTTGTAGGAACCTTGCGCTCACTCTACAGCAGCCCTGGGCAGCATCCCTCCAACAGGAAGCTGGCTTCACAGAGAAGTACCAGTTATGCAGGTGTTACTGAAGATTGACTCGGAGAGGTTAAGTAATATTGATCGCCACCTAGCTGTCAAAGGCAGCCCTGTCGACCCTTAAAGCTTCTCCAACTATCAGTCATCTCTCTTCTGCCTACCTTGCAGGGTCTTCAACCTTGCTCTGCTGGTTCCTGACATCTAACCAGACTTCTTCTCCTCTTTCCTCCTCCTACCAATAACTCTTCTTTTCAGATTGGAGAACCATTCGGCTACTCTCTGCTTTTCCTTCTAATGGCTCATGCAACATAAAATGTTCTTTGCTTAGGTTCTGTCTTCATAGAATAGTTTTCTATGGGCTATCAGTGGTGTAGTTTGGATTATAAAGTATAACTATTTTTCCTCTGATAATACATTTTCCCCTTTATCTTACTGTTACCTCAAAGTCATGTTATTATAGAAATTAGATGGAAATAAGGAATAAGCATGAATTGAAAATGTAAAACCATATTCAGGTTCCTGTTCCCTCATCAAATGATAAATCATTAATTCTGCTTTTTTATACAAGAAAAAAGATGTTTCCCTTTGGGAACTTTAAAGGTCTTCCCTGCTTTGTGGATCATTCTCCTTAAGATTCATAGCACCTCTGGCAATTATCCAGATAATATTTCTGTTAAAGCACTGCTAGTTCTATTTAAATTTTATAGCTTTAACTCCACTTGACATACATTAGAAATTAAGTCTCTTTAATTATTTTACTCCAGTGAGACTATTTCATCTTCATTGATCTTTAATGAGTTATGCAGTTTACAGGGTGGTATTTGGCTCAGATGTTTAATTTTTTCCCCAGTAAAATACAGTATTGCTTTATCTCTCCACAAACCGAGAGAATATCTCCAGAATTTCAATAAAAGCATTTCAATAAGTGCTTGTCGAGGGTGAGGGATATGATTGAGTTTGCTACGAACATTTACCAGTTGTTGAGATATTTGGTTCAGGTTGCCTCTATCTAGAGCTAGTGCCTGTTACCTTTATTCTACATAGCAGGCACGAGTAACTAAAAAGCAAGTCAGCAAGGATTGAAAGGGGGGAAGTTTACCACAGAAAATGCCATTTCAAAGTAGAGTCTTGATTCCATGCTTAGCATAAGCATATACATTTAAGCCACTCTGCAGCAGGAAATCTCCATGTTGAATGCAATAAAATTGCTTTATATACCAAAGGAACAATCCATTACATGGAGCAGACCTTCTTTATAGCTAGTCTCATGTGCTTTCATCACATAGTAATGACTCTTGCAATGCTGCCGATTCTCATAATCCATTGTGGATGAATAAAAATTAGGTTATAAAGACACATGAAGTGCCTTCTGGTTGTCACTATTTTCTTGAGAATGAACTGATTCTTGATTACCTCCAGCAGAGCCTTAAAATCTTGCCTAGTGAGAAATAGATGATGCTAGGTGATTATAGCCAGCCCCACTCTCTGCAAATCTTGGATTTAAATCCCAACAACTCATATTCAGGGCCTGTTAGGCAAGAAATGTTTCCCTACATATGATCTCATTTGATCATTGAAATAATTTTGTAAGCTAATTATTATATTTCCACTGTACAGATGATAAAGTTGAGGTTAAATTTGGGTCCAAATAGATTTACTACCTCCCTCTTTGTTGTGAATTTATGGGCCACTTGAATTAATTTGATAGGGAGAGATTTTTGTTTGTTTCTGATTTGCAAGGTTGCCATAATGTAATACTGAATAGCCTGTAAAACATGTTCTGAATTTGTCATATCTATTACACATTCTTTGGTACTTTTTAAAATACAGTTATAAAATATCTATTTGTTAGATACTCTATCACCAATGTGACCCCCCAAGATTTTTCTGTTGCTTTGCCAAGAATGTGGACATGTTTGAGCATGTAATTCATGGTGCTTCTATTTTCATGGAAGCCTAAAAAAGCCTCCTGCAAGAATAGCAGTGACAAACATTTCTCTTGATGTCTCTATTAATGAAAAATGTTGGGCAAGAGACTTCAGGGTAAGGTAGGTGATAAATTGAACATCCCTTCATGATGTTCATTTGTGGGCCTTGGAACTCAGCCCAGGGGCAGGTGGAAGGTTGATTCTATTTTGTTCAGATTCTTTTCTTGGGACTGGGCTTCTAAGTTCCCCATAGTCTTCAGGGAAAGTATTTGGGTACAGATAGGTTAGACCATGCAGGTAGAGTAAAGGAGGTCCCATTCTATGTCTACTTCCATTAACAAATGAAAAATCATTACTCTAGGTTTCAATTTACTTCTATTTGAGTAAGAGGTAAGGACATTCTGTCTCCCACTCTCCTTCCTTCCCTCTCTCTCTCTCTCCTTCTCCCTCTCCCCCTCCACTTTCCCCTCTTCCTCTCTCTCCTTCTCCCTTTCCATTTCCCCCTACCTCCTGAATGATGATAGAATCCCTTAAAGGTCCCAGGGTTTGGGTCAATACCAAGCCTGTCTTATAGCTTAACCATATTCTTTGGTTTTAGGAACTGTGGTTTGAGCTATACATGATCTAAATCTATACTATAATGTGGTCTCTTTTTTTAAGATTTATTTATTTGAAAGGCAGAGTTACAGAGAGGCAGGGAGAGAGAGAGAGAGAGAGAGAGAGGTCAGTCTTCCATCCACTGGTTGACTCTCCATACAGCTGCAACGGCCAGAGCTGTGCCAGTCTGAAGCCAGGAGTCAAGAGCTTCTTCCGGGTCTCCCACGCAGCTGCAGGGGCCCAGGGACTTGGGTCATCTTCTACTGCATTCCCAGACCATAGCAGGGAGCTGGATCAGAAGTGGAGCAGCCGGGACTCAAACCTCTGCCCATATGGGATGCTGGCACTACAGGCGGTGGCTTTACCTGCTATGCCACAATGCCGGCCCCAGTGTGGTTTTACTGTGTTGGAATAGGGAATATGTTTTTATAATCAGGTATAGAACATAATGACAAGCAGATGTAATTTATGTCCTAGATGGAATTA